GTTTCTTATGCCATGACTATCAACAAGAGCCAAAGACAGTCGTTATCGCATGTTGGTTTATTTCTTAAGAAGCCGGTGTTCAATCATGGTCAATTATATGTTGTCGCCTCCCGCGTCACAAATCGAAGTGGATTGAAAACATTAGTCTGTAATGACGATGACGTGTCGCCAAATCAGACTCAAAACGTTGTGTACAAAGAAGTGTTTACTAATTTATGAAGTTTTTAATTTATTTTTTCTCTGTTTTACATTTGTTACATAACTACAAAGTGCATTAAATTTAATGTTAATATTTAAAAGTTTCTGAAAAATATACCAGCCGTGCATCGCACGGGTCAGTATTAGTTATCTAAGTAACTTGCAATCAGTATAGCTGATTATCTGAGAGTGACTAACTGAGAGACGTAGTGACCTGAACAAGTCTGGACATATATTTTGACTTTGGATAGGCAGAAAGACCTGAGGAACATCAACAGTGTGAACACATCAAAGATAAGCAAAGCCATGAAGATAAGGACGAATCTCGGGAAGCCACCTAGGTAGCCAGTTGTCCCCCTGGGCAGCTCGTCAGGGAAACCAATTGTACTTTCGAGTAGCCCTTGGGCAACAAGATTTTTTGGGCACGAAGACACACAGTTAATTGGGCACCTAGGTAATTGTAGTATAAATAGGGATAAGCTGTGATTGGAACTACTTCCTCATATGATATCATAAATATTCTGAAATATAACTCATTTCAGATTTCATACTAACTTGATCGTCGGAGTGTAACGCCGAGAGTACCTCTCGGCTCTTGTTTTGCAGATCTCTAGCCTAGTGACGAACAACTCCAACTGAGGCCATCTGGTTACCAAGTTCATCAATCGAATTTTCCAGAAGATCAGGCCAGCCAAAACCGAAGCTATTTGGTAAATCAGTATCACTAACATATACTTCGTTCCTGCACGTGTGCATTTTCCTCGTTAAACTAAAAGAAGTTATTTTTCCATCTCATAACTCTTTGGGAATAAGTGTGGTATAAGCACACTCAACCCGAATTAGCTTTAAATAAATGGTGAAGGATGGTAAATTTAATAATGCGTGTTATCCAGGAAGTGTGCAATCCACCGTATAAAATTGAACTTTATTTTTAATCGTTTGAGCAGCATACGTGTTTGTGAATATGTGAGAATCAGATTTCAATCTACCAACACTTTGGGCATGTAGCAGACCATCAAAACTGAACACAAAATTGATCACGGCAGAACTCATAAATAATTAAACAGGTCCCACCAAGCCCGCGAAAAAATCGGTCCAATAAAATTGGTATCTAGCCCATCAACAAACATCCTGAGAAGAGAAAGGGAAAACAAGCTGAAATGTATCCTCATCAGTCATTACATAACAAATAAACTAGTCAATGGAATTGAACCCAAACATTTTCATACCATAATTATTTCACATAAAACCTATATACCTATTACACAGACTTGCAAGTCAAGTGAGATTTGACAATTCAATACCTGAATTCAATACCTCAATCGCATTGTGTATAACATATAGATATTGCATTAGTCATACTTTGCACTTTGCATTAATTTCACCACAAAGTCATGATAGATGTTCGAGTTTTGTATAATCCGCAGAGATCTTATTAACTGAAGTTGTTTGAGTTCTTTTACATAACGTGGGACTTTTCAATTTTGTCATAAAGAGCTACCATCACACAATATTTTATTGAGAAAACTAGCACATGACTCGTTTCCTACGGGATCAACTGTGAAAAGAGCTTCATAAACATAAAAGCGTCGTGAAGGGTGAAAGCTAATGAGAAGCATCGCACATAATTGTGTGTTGTTCCAACATGGTTTTACAAGGTGGTCATCTTCATAATAAGCAATATGGTTAACAATGTTCTTACGCACGTTCAATTTATATTGCTTTAAATCATTGTTGCAAAGTAATGAGGTCGAATTTCACCAATTCAGTGATTGTTCGTTACCAAGTGAAAAGCGACTTTGAATAATAAAGCTCCTATTTTATGTGCATAATTTGGAGTGATATGATTTGCATTATATCATCGAATCCAACCCAAAATTTTGTCCCATGTTTGTTTTTTTTCACAAAGACGAACTTGTGGTTAATCATCTCACAAAATTTGGTTCATATTGATTAGAATGGAAATTATTGATTATTGTGTCTTTTGCATGCAATTTTATATTATTTAACATAATTAGGCATATTTCATAAGATTTCCTTCCATGAGTGAATTACTTGACCATTAAATATTGTATGTTGTTATATTTGGAGCAAAATCTAATTCTTTGATGAGAATTCGAAATAAATGGTTGTTGTGTCTTAGGAGGACAGATTTGAATTATGAATTTTGGAGGGACTAGTCGCCAAAAACCACCATCTATCTCTTCTTCTTAATACCTTCATCGTTCAGAATTATCCATCCAAACTAGTACCTTTTATTTTCTTCTTCACGCAATCCTTTGTCTATATCTTCAATTTTTCTAAAGCAATCTTCAGAAACCCTAACTCTTTCATCTTCAAAATTCGAATTTCAAACCTGTGTTCTTGCATCCTAATTCTCGAATCCACAACGGTTGGGGAAAACAGCTCCTCCGATAGGTCTGGCACATTCCCCGGGACGAAGGTCAAGGCAAAGCAGACAAGGTACACGACCAGTCCCGTTTCTTCGTCAGTCATTTCACTGGAAACTTATACTTCTGATATGCCTATCTTTGCGATTCCGGTGAGCTCGATTCCTTTTTCTTCGCACTCGGTCGCACCTCTACCAATTGTATGCAAGATATGAAGAATCAGTTGGGAAGGATATTAGCTCTACAAGGAAAGAAGTCGATACATGGAAATGTGAAGGCTCCTTACCCTTTAGGAGTATGTATATATGCTTGTTCGACGATTCAAAGAATGGCTGCTGAAATTATTGAGTATCATTGCAAACATTTATTGAGTGTTCATGTGCTTTTTGTGTTTCATTTGTTTTACATTAATTAAGTGAGTGTTTTTACGTCGCTAAAGTATTGTTCTCTTTCTTTGTTCGCAATTAAGTGCTTTTATAGCTTCGAGGGATCCAATAGCTATTTTGATGTCCACGTTGTGGCTAGGGAAGTAATTGATAGAGTCGGGTATAGTGTTGGTAAGATCAAGAGAGATTCCTTGTCTTGTAAGTCCTCGTTATACTTTGTGCGCACAAATCGATTTATTAATAAAAGAGCTCTGTAGGGTAGTGGGATACTCCCCAAAGACGTTTTTATTATATGTTGCTTCTGCTTTTAATTTCTGTGTTTAAACACACATTGCGTACAACTAAGCTTCATTTGAATAAATAAGAAAACAACTAAGATCTCTCTCTCTTTCGAAAAATTTTCCCCAAATCCTCTCAAACCATTTTTTTTTTTTTTTGTGTCGCTCTCCCATGCCTCTCCGTCAGCGGGTGCTCTATACTCCACGGCTCCGTCCAACACCTGCGCCGGTGGTGAGATCCTGACGGGTCTTCATCCCTCTTCCAGCGTGGCTCATTGCCTTTTTTGATTGGCCATGGCGGGGTATAAAAGGGTTCCGACTCGCCGGCGATTTTGCCTTGGTGGGCTCCGTTGTTATCTTGCGGTGGCCAAGCTGTGACCGACTCTTTGCGATTCCTCTGTCTCATCCTCTCTCTGGTGTTGTGAAGGTGGATCCTCCAGCATGGCGGCTTCTTTCTTCGGTGGGTTGAGATAAAGATTGTCGATTGTGTTGGAGAGGGGTTTGGTACGGGTATCCATGTGTGTACCGGTGGCGACCATGTTGGGAGGGTTGTGGGTCGCTTGGTCTGGATCGAATTAGCCGTAAGGGGAGTTCCTAGATCCGTTTTTGGATCGTTGACTTGCTTCTGATTCTGGGTGGCCCGTCTTGGGTTGTGGCTTGAGTTGTGTTGGTTCGGAGCGGCTTTTTAGCCGGCGAGGAGAGCTTTATTGTAGCTATTAGGATTTTTTCCGGTAGGTACATTTTCGTATGCTCTTTGTATTGTTTTGTTGTGTTATTCTTCTGTTGGGGGCGTTTATTCTTTATTTGTGGATTTAGGTAGCTTTTTGTTTCTTGTGGGTTTGTTTAACCAATGTGGTCTCCAGAATACCTTTGGGTTTTACCTTCGGGTTGTCCCCCCACTAGATTCAGTTGTGTAGCTGCTTGAGTTAGCTATATTAGTTGTTATCTAGTTGTACATATGTGATCTTATTTATATAAGGTTTATCGTTTAAATAAATACACAAACACACACATTGCGTACTCTATACCCTTGACCTATTCAGTTGCAGCCGCTGGCCACTGAGATCCATCGTCCTGCAACCACCGTTTCTCGAATTTGAAGTCGAGATGCTTGATTGACTGAAAAAATTGGGAGTTTTTATGTGTGATTAATCGTGTAGCCATGATTTGGAGAGGAGTGCAGCCAGTGTATGTCTTATGAGGGTTTGTAGATTTTCAAAGAATGTTAATATAATTGAAAATAAAAAATTTAATTAGTATATTTTTGGCTCATTTTCACATATATTGTACTGATTCCTAAAATATTGCAAAACATCTATAAAACTGAACAAGTATATTTGCACATGTATCTAATATCTAATCCCTAATCCCTGCACATCACCAAATCCCTAATCCCTGCACATCATAAAGTCCAAAAGCTACATCACTGATGCCCTCAATCGATAAGCTCCAGGCCGAGTGCTACGGTCCAGGGCTGCGCTAAAAGGGTTCCAGGGTCGAGTGTGACGGTTCCATGAAAGCTTATGGTTGTCGTCTGGCTTACATCGGTCACCACGACCGTCTAAAGCTACTGGTGGAGGATTGCTCGATCACGGGTGACAGCGAACTGCAGCTGTCGGGTGGACGCTCGCCTATGCAGATTCAACCTTGCCTGTGAAAATTCAACCTTCCCTGATGCGTGGGATGCGGGCGACTAGTCTGAGAGGGCCAGATGTCGTCGGACTGCATCTCTTCAGTCGCGCGCTGCAATGAGGAGGAGCGATAAGGCTGAGATTGTGCCACGTCGTCGGATTTGTTTGAAGGTGCGAGGTGGTTGCGTGCTGCTCAGAAGTCGCCGGATAAAACTCGAGCTGAGGTGCGCGGGATGAAATGTGAAGGGACACGGGAGATGCGCAAGGAAAAAGATGAACAATCAGATCTAAAATTTTGTCCCAAATTGGTTGCCGCTATTAGGGCTGGCATTTTTTAACCAAAAACCGAAAACCGAACCGAACCAAACGGAACTGACGAGAAAATAAACCGAACCGTACCGAACCGCTTATAACGGTAACCAACTATCGATTACCGAATCACTATCGGTACGGTATCGGTTTGAACCCATAAGAGTTCGGTAAAACCGATACCGAACCGATAAGCGTAAAAAAAAATAAAACAAAGATTTTTTTTTAAATATTAAAACAATAATTAGTTGTTTAGTGTTCAAAAATTTAAATAAGGGCTCAATCCTACCTAAATCTCAAAATGACGAGAAAAATACCATTACTCATTGCTTCATTCACCTTCTAATCGGAACATTGTTGGTTTACCAGTCTCACTTCTTCTAAAGAAGATGCATGCTACTGTTACTGTAGTCTATTCTCGTACCACCGTTACTAGATAAGTTAGTTGAAGTTGTATCACAAATTTTATTTCTTGCATGTTAGGAATATATTGTTTTATTAGTTGCGTTTACCACAAAAACCATAATCTAATAATATGTAAACTAACTTTTATACATTAAATTTAAACTTTTTAATCCTTCAATGGATTTGTGAGTCTTTTGTGTGTATTTAATTGGTAAGAAGTGAAAAATTACAAAAATGACAGAGAAAAGTAAACACTAGCAATTTTTTTTTTGTGCTCAAAATCGGTTCGGTGTTTTCGGTATAAAACCGATACCGAACCGAAACCGAACCGAGTTTTCGGTTACCGAATTTTCGATAACCGACTTTAATCGGTTCGGTATCGGTTTTGCATTCCGAGGTTACCGACATTATCGATACGGTATTGGTATACGCTTATCGGTTCGGTAACCGAACCGATACCACCCCTAGCCGCTATCAATGTTTATTCCGTGTATATATACATGAAAAAGAATCAATTTGTTTATATTCCATATATATACAAATAAAATGAAGATGTATGATACTTTTGCTAATAAAATAGTAATTTCGTATATATGAAATTATAATGGTTGTTGTGAGTAATTTTCTCTAATTTTTTTATATTTTCTAGAGTACAGTCCCAAGTCCATTTCCATAAAATGTGTGGGTTGGGATTTTCCATTATTAATTTATTATTAATAGATATTAATTTGAGCATATCATAAGAAAAAGATAACAAACAAGACACTCAACCCAACCCCTTCAATTAAAACTCAGTTGGCAAAACCAACACTTTGGACATTTAGCAGTCCATCTAAACTGAACACAAAATTGATCACTGCAGAACTAATAAATATTGGAAAATTTACACACATATCATTGTATTAGCCTTATTTTTAAAATAACGATTCCATAAATCTTTTATCCAATTTGAGATTTTGTGGATAAGTATTATCAAATCTACGATATATATTACTTTTCCAAACTATGCACTCAATTAATGGTCCGATACTTACGCATTCAGAACAACTTTCTGTTTTTTTTTTTTTTTAAAANGAAACAGAATTTTCAAACTGTCGGCGACTCATGGAAGGGCTGCTCGGAGGACGAACGGCGATGCTGCTCTTCGTGCGGAAAGTTGCACTACTCGGGGATGATGGGTGGTCGCCGGAAAGCGGGTCGCGACTGCTTACGTCTAGGCTGCGGGGAGGGTGGATCTCGACGATGGCAGCGCGTGGCCTTGAAGCTCGCGGCTATGGCTGCTTGGAGGGGTTCGAGTATGAGGTTTTCTCGACAAGGGCTTGCTCGTGGCTATGGCATCTAGTGTTCTTCTCTTTGCCATTGACGAAAATATGGATGAAAAAAATAGAAGTTATGTAGGTTCCTAGATTAATTTGGTCAATTCTCATTCATGTGTTTATGACACTAATGTCTGTTTTTTAATTTTTTATTTTTTTTCCCGGCTTCATCTGTCAAAGCTCTAGAGACGTAGAACCAGAATCCACATTGATTTCGTGCGGATTGATTAGTTTTACAAATCTCATATTTTTGTATATGTAAACGTAATATATACAGTAAGTAAACACAGTTTTATTCCTGTAATCTTGAATATTTATTTAGTAGATCTGTTTATTTTACAGAAGCATGACTGATGTGAATGTGTTTATACATCACAATTGTGGATCAACAATGAATACGTGTACTACCAAGTCGGAGGTATCTTGATTAGTAAATTATGTGACTACAATCAGCTCCAAGATAGTGTGTTTGATAAACAGAAAATAAACGCGTATTCAAATGATCTTTATATGAAGTATCAAGTGAAGGATGGATATCCACCTATGAGTGTGGATGACCTGCTTGTCTTTCCTTTTTTAGTAAAACTGGACCACACCGAAGAATATAGGGATGAGAGTAGAATAGCATCTAACACCATTGAAGACAATATTGTCAAACTCTTCCAATCGTCAAGAATTATGTACAACTAGCCTATTCACACCAAGCGACAATCATCCCAGTACCCAATATCCAACACCATTAGTTCAACATGAATGGGAAAGAACACACACTAGTATCAAAACCTTCTGAAAGGTATTAGTCATACAGAGATCAATCAAATAGCACGTCGGTGGTGGTTTACCGTACGACCTCAAAAGAACCATATGGTCCGAGTTTTCTGAGATAATAGGATAAAACATCCATATGCTGAAGAGGCATGAAAAGACAGAGTTTAGTAAATATCTTGAAAATTATGCTATGAAACAACAGACATGTATACTAAAAATAAACATTAGATAAACAAGTGCATAATCAAACAAGTTTTAAAATATAAAGTTGGTCAATTTGCTATAAAACAACAGATGTATATACTAAAAATAAACATTAGATAAACATGTGGTTCTTCATACAACAGCAATGTATACTAAAAATAAACATTAGATAAACATGTGCATATTCATACAAGTTTTAAAATATACAGTTGGTAAACATTAGAATCTACTCTCTCAAATAGTAAGCATCATTTTTACACTCATTTTCAACATTACATTTAATATCTCAACCTTCAATTCTGGAAAGGAAATAGAAATGAAAAAAAAAAATGGCATTGGTAAACAGATCTTTCAAACTCATCTACTTTCTCCTCATAATCCTCACTCTTGAGACTCCCATTGCCACTGGCCTGTGTATCAAACTCCTCCACAAAGACTCAATTCAATCCCCATTTTACACCCGAAACCGAACCCAAACCCGAACCGAAAGACTCAAACTCCTCCTTCAGACATCATCATCATCAAACATCAAAACCAAGATTTTTTTAAGTCATAATAGATCACAAAACAAAACCTCGACCTCGATTCGCCCGATACTCGACAACCAGGATCTAATGTACATGGTTCAGGTCAGCATCGTCCGTGTAATCTAAGAAAATTGAGTTAGTGGAAAGTTGATCGTGAAAATATGTTCAGATATACTGTATATATGCATAAGTTAAACAACATGTAAAATGCATGTAAATTATCCGTATAGTTATACATTAGATAAACAACATATAAACAACACAAACGAGGTAAAACATAAGATACAATTCAATCTCATAAACTTCCCCCATTTGAAAATCTCTATTGTAAAAACCATTAGTCACCTTCAAATCAACCAGTAACCATAACAATCAATCTCGAAAACCAAATTCAATCTACATACAATTCAAAACAATTATTAGCATAAACTTCCCCCATTTGAAAATCTCTATTATAAAAACCATTAGTCACCTTCAAATCAACCAGTAACCATAACAATCAATCTCGAAAACCAAATTCAAACTCAAAAACCAAATTCCAATAAAAATCAATCTCGAAAACCAAAAACAAAAAATAACTCAAAAATTTAAAATCGGAATTACAAATCTCAATAAATTTTCAAAATAGAGATAAAGAGATAGAGAGAGCAAATCGGAATTTACATGGCTTATCCGGCCGTCCGTCGGCCGTCTTCATTGTTTCCGGATTTGGCTTCGAATTTTCTTCGCTCGGCCATTAAAGTTTTCAGACAGAGAATAGCTTTTTGTGTTAGGGAAGATGGCTATTTTGGTTATTGCGTGTGGAAGGAAGGAGAATATCTCTCCCCTATATTCATTCGTGTAGTAGATAGTTTAAAAGCTGCTGAAAATAAACCATTACCTTAATTAATTAATATTTCATAATTATGATAAAAAATTTACCTATTCGTAATATTAATATTATTTAGCAAATGAAGAGTAAAGGAGGTAAATTTCTCATAAGTATTTTAACAGATCCCGCTAGGCCTACGAAAAAAAGCAGCCCAATCAAATTGGTACCTGGCCCATCAATACACATCCTGAGAATACAAAGGAAAGACAAGCCGAAAGGGATCATCATTAGTCATTACATAACAAATAAACGAACCAATAGAATCGAACCCAAACGTTTTCAGACCATAATTAATTCATATATAACCTAATATACCTATTACAGACTTGAAAGTCTAATTCATATTTGACAATTCAACACCGCAATTCAATACCCTAAACTGAATTCATTCTCAAACATCATTGAGAAAACTTTTCTTTTTCTTTTAAACCCTATGACCACCAAACAAAGCCCTACTATGATAACACATATGCACAAACTTAATTTTACCCCTTCTTGCACACACATCATTTCTTATATAACACACAAACACACATATAATAATCTCTACAAATTTACAGAGACTATAGTATATGCATATGTATATATATATAATATATAAATATATTCAATTTATGTATCCACCGTCGACAACTGTACACCACCCGAGCCACCGGAGGAATGAGATGCCGCCAGCAGGGCAGCCCCAATTCCCGACCCATCCTCCGTGACGTTGATCACGACACGAGCCGCCACATCATCACCGAGTATGTGGGCCAATGCCTCATTCAGATACTCTCTGAACATTGTGTAGTTGGAGTAGAGTCCTCCCTCGACTGCCACCACTGTCCTAGCAATCTCGCTCTTGGGTTTTGATTTGCCGCCCGAGTACCCACCGTAACCATCCCGCCCCATCTTCTTCAGTATGCCCACTATGCCAGCTGCTGCCAGCCTGGCGCCTCTGCGTGTCACCACGTCACAAACCTTCACCACGAGCTTCCGTACGTTGAGGGGAGCATCGTTTATCTAATAATAAGGAAAACATTAACAATGAAAAAAAAAAAAAAATTATTAAGTGGTGTAATCATTAATGCAATTTTGGAGTATAAACCTCGAGAGTGTCTTGTAATACTCTGGCAACCTCTATCAAGTCGGGGGAATCATCCTCGTGCATGGCAGCTATCATAGGTGTCCTGCAAAGTTTTTAAGGTGATTAGATAATTTCCGGCCTGTCGTTTAGTAGAATTGATTTCTTATGAATGTTGAATGTCAAACTTAATAATAGATAAACTATAACTAGCAACTCCTAGTACTTTCTACTTCTTGAAAGATGCAACCTTTAAATTTCCACAGGTTATCTATCACTAAAGATAGAGAGCCTATGAGAGAGATCCCATGAAATAAGGCATAAATCATGGAAAGTATATTGAAGAATAAACCTACAGATTGTGGAGTGATTTTGGGATCTGGATTAAGATCATTGTTATCTTGCTTTTACTATTATTACCTTTTGTATTATATCAGTTAAATATAAATATAGGATCTCTAGTAGAGAAGGGTAGGCAATAAAGAATCATATTGTAATTAGCTTTAGCTATTGGCCTATTGGGCAAGAGTAGTTCTTGTTAGGCAGAAGTTAAAAGTCCTGGGAAGCTCCAACCTTCTGGTTACCATTGATATTAAATAAAATTTCATATTCCATTTTCTCGACTCTTTTTTACTCTTATCAGACTAGATCAAAAAGAATTTAAGGTGAACTTCAACCGACCAACAAATGCCATGAATTAAATTGAATTTATCAACTAGTCCCTGTGGATGTTTCTTCCATTCAACAAAAGCCATCCTATATTACATGTTTCAATTTTTTTAGAGAGGAAACTGCAAGTTAAATTTACATGGCTGCCTCCTTTCCAGCAATTCAAAAATTAAAAAAGAAAACACACATTAGCATAATATGCTTCAAATAATTACACTTGTGCGGATCTGAAACATATGTACAGACTGGGCAGAAAGATTTATGAGATTGAGAATGAGAAAATTACCTTAATATGAATGGAACATATAATTTGGAAGACACGGGTCCAAAAACATCCGACTCCTGAGACATCCGAAGAATTACTCTTCTCACAATGTCTCCAAGATACATTCCAGATATCATTTTCTCAAAACCCTGCAGTAAGAACCCTAATCACTATCCACCAGCAAGAAGTAACAAAACCATATATTTTGACGACAATCTGTTAAATTAAGAAATATGGTAGAAGCTAAACTCACCTGATCATTTGGGTTAGGACTTTCAGCATCCAAATCAATATCATAAGACGTCCTAGGCAAGTGAGATGACCAAAAATTTCCCCATTCCATGTTGACCACCTAATCACATATAACACCATCAATACGTTCAGCGAGAAAAAAGAAAATTTGCAACATAAAAAAAAAAAATGTGTAATAACATGCTGGAAACTATACCATGCTTCCAGTAGATGCAAGAAGACCTTGGCATTTAATGATGGCATCTGCACGCTCCAAATAACAGGCATTAGTGCCTGTTCCAAAAACCACAGCAGCTACAGTGTCTTCATCATGATAATGACCAAGAGCCAAGGTACCCACAGTATCATTTACCTGCTTACACAAGAATAAAAGTTTTAACATTAGACTGAAAGCACTGTAACCAATATATCTAGAGGCAAACGTAAATATAAACCAAAAATACTGGCAGCTGCAAAACTAAAGAAGCATGAGGTACGGTGCTGTTCTCATGGACAACTCACAAGTCCAAAGGAGAAACAGACATGTAACTTGCGCCACATGCATAAGATAATATTGCATAAACTTCATGATATAGTGGAGATATCATATATAGAAATAGGAGAGAAGGAAAATGATTAATTCAAATTATGACCAAGCAAATAAAAAGTTAAGAATGTGCAGAAACCAATTAACCAGTGTTCTTACAAGAGCGGCAACTCGCATATCCAGGCCTTTTTGAGATATTGATTCCTGTAGGCACTGAGCAACATCTCTACCAATCTACAACACGACAGTCCATTAATTAGGCACCTCTTACCCACCACAACTGACACTGATGCATCATTATACCAAATACCAAAGATAATTTAAGAAATTAAGGGTGTGATTGTTTATGGATTCAATTAGTTTTTATTTGGTTTGTTTTTTAACTATAGTTAATTTTAGAAAAATGTGGTATGGTTAGTTGTTAGTGGATATATTAAATAATATTTAAAAATAATAATTAAAGTTGATTTGATGTAAAGTAAGAGAAAAATGATTGGAAATGATAGTTAGTTAAAATTATGTGAGTGGATGAATAGTGAATTAAAATTGATGTGATGTGTAAAAATGATTGTTTGATATTATTTGATTATATTGATAATATTGGAGATAGTGGGGTTTAGTTAAAGTTGAGTTAAATTTGAGTTTTGATTAGTTTTTTTACTGTTCAAACCATATCCAATCGCCCCCTAAAAATTTCGTTGTTTTTGTTACTGTCGCCTGAGAAAACCATATGCAAGTACAAAGTACGTTTTCATAAGAAGAAGATGCAGATTTTAAATGGGTACCCAACATTACAGGTGAAAATGACTCGAAATGAGCAAGCGTATGAATAAGAGAATAAAAAAAACAAAAGACTAACCATGTCATCAATAGAGAATCCTTTTGTCCATTTGATTAGCGTTCCTGATGACGGTGAAGTTTGTTTTACTGGGAATGAAAATGTGAAACCAAGATCCCTTCTCTCCCCTTGTGACGCCTCTGAAGCATTTTCTTCTCTTTCAACAAAATCCTTCAGAGATGTTGCTATAAAATCAAAAAGCTCCTGAAAGTGAGAAGTAGAATGAAATAGAAATTAATTAGAATTTTGAGTCCAGGAAGAAGTTATCTCATATAGGAGATGCCAAAATGCACAAAAATCAGCTACCTCACTTGTCCCGGTCATCAAATGCTCAGGGATGGGCTGTCGTTCAACATCATGACCTATGATAGCTGACCTTTGCCCACCTAACTTAACTCGCAAGACCCTGAAATTGGTACCGCCGAGATCTAGACCAAAATAAGTCCCCTCTTCTTTTCTGGAAGTAAAATGTTTAATATAATCAGAAAAAAAAAAACTACTTGATATTTGATTAAGAATGCAAAAGAACTCACCACATTAAACAAAAAGATTCCGACAAAACAAAACAAAAGCAACAAAGATTTCGTCAATGTTCCTGAATCACAAGTCCTAAATCTCAACACATTGACACAATCAAGCTACCAGCTGAATCAGAGGACTTAAACTATATCGTAATATCAACAAAATGCAGTCGATCTATGAAAAATAAATTGATTTCTTTAGGGTTCAAATATAAACAATGGAAAACATATAGGTTAAAACAAGTGAAGGATAGTGAATCATTTAACATTAAAAAGGAGTAGCAACATGTGTTTTTTCTCAAAGGGATAATTATTGTTCATGAATGACAGAGTACCAAAGCATGACGAAGATTTCTTTTTGCGATTGAGAATCTCAAAGAAACTCGAAAGAAGATTCCACCAATTTTCCCACTATTCGTAGATAAAACGTTAAATAAACAACGTGTAATCTGGAAAGTGATTATCGAAAGTTAGGAAGAAAAAATCAATCGCATAAAAGGAAGGGGCAAGGCTGGAAAAACCCAAAAAATACTCATTGATACACATCCTTTTTAGCAAGTAAAATAGAAACCAACACGTAGATTTCACCACGGCACTGCATTAATGAATTTACTTAATAGCAAAGAATCTCTCAACAGAAAACACCCCATCGCACGGTGTCGCATCAATTGCGCCCCAACTATGAAATGTTAAGGATCCAGCCAGAACATAATTCCAACTCATATACAACTTCAATCATAATTGCAACGCAGGAAAAGCAAAACAGTGGGTAGCATGGAGAAATCACTACATAAACAAATGCATTCGACTGGACTAAGAAAAATTCACATTTAACCCCTGCAAAATTGTGAATCTTGACCACAGAACACAAAATCTCCTTAAAAAATATACTAAATGTACGCGTCATTGCCCAAAAACATTAGGAGATCAAGTAATCGTGGCCAATAAACTAACATATAGAAGCAATTCAACATCAAACTTAACAAAAACATTTAATTGAGCATTTATCCACTATCCCTAAACTATCAATCAAACGAATGCCATCCATGAAACCACATTTTAACTCCCAATAGCTGCAGATTTAAGTACAAACCTGGACAAAAGCAACCACAAGTAAATTAGTAGATTCATTCAATAGATGCAGACCTACGCTCACACACAGGCACACAAACCAACACACACACACACACACATCTGAAGCGTCAAGGCCTTACCCTGTAGGGAGGTTGTAGATATAGGTGAGAAGCATCTTAAGCTTGGACCCGCCTTCGGAAGCCAAGCCCGCGTGCATCTCAACCGCCATTGCATCAACAACCTGCCGCAGCCGCCCCACAGGAGTGGCGCATCCCTCCTCCAGCTCCTCCAGCACCCTCAGAACCCGCTTCCACCCCCTCCTCCGCCTCACCCTCCTCCCCACCATCACAGCCGCCACCACGCACGCCGCCGCCGCACATCCCGCCGCCAACGCTGCCCCGACCTTCCCCATAAACGGCGCCCTTCCCTCCAAAAAGGCCCTTCTCTTTCGGAATAGGGGAATCAAAAATCAATCCACCATCCTAAAGCAGAAAACAAATCAAAAAGGTTTTGTTCCAGCGATCAAGAAAAACGCAGCGAATTTCCTGAAAATTGGCCGGAAGACCTAAAGGACTGTGCGTGTTCGAAACGAGGGGACTTAAACAGCCGCCGGATGTTCCAAACGGCGTCGTTTTGCTGTCTTTCTATCCTCTGTAAAGGTGTTTCCTTTATTGCGCGACTGTGGAGAAACGAAGAAGAGTTGCTCAAGAGGAGAGAGTAGAGAGAGAGAAAGCAGTATAGAGAGAGAGAGAGAGAGAGAGAGAGAGAGAGAGTAATGGCGAGTGTGTTTTGGAAAGCGATCTGTTGGATACTTATAAGAGGATCTCAAAAGACGAATTTGACCCTAAGAAATTTAAGGAAATTTTCCGCCTTATAGAAAAGTCGGGGACTGCAAAATGACGGTCTTGCCCACCGGCTGCCACCTTTAATTTTTGAAAGGTGTGGTTTGGTTAATTTGACCAATGCTGATGTTGACCTTTCCTCAATAGTAGTAGAAACGAATATGGCAAAGGTTCTGTCTTTTGATTTTTAGATTTTTTATTTATATGGATGAAACAAGAATTAGATCATACTCCGTTTGTTTATTAAATTATAGAAAAAAAATAAAANCAGTTGAAACATGGTAAGTGAACGTTAATAAGGGAATTGATATCTATCTATATATTGAGATAGATTGATGAAATAATTTAAAATAGTAACTTTGATTTTGTAATTAAATAGACGACTTCATATTATAAGAAATATAGTAAAATTAATTTTATTTATACAAAAATAAAAATTAAATTATACATGCATGTTGTAAATCGTGTGATCCGGTTAATAGCACTTTCTATATAAATAAAGTTGTATCAATTTTTAAAATTATTTTGTAATTTTATCGCAATAAAAATTCGATTCTTCATATTGATTATGAATCACTGCGATTCTGTTATTTTTCTGGTAAGCAACATACAACATGCCTTCAATAAACACCTATTAAATATATTTCGTTTTTAGAAAATATTATTTGAATATGCACGATAAAATTACAAATATAATTATAAAATAAAAATTAAAAATTAATTGTGAAAAGTTTATGTTAGAATAGAATTTATTTATCACCATTAATAACAAATCATGTTAATTTCTTATTCATTTGGTAATCAACTATATACTAAAATATTTTTTGTCGTGTCTTAAAATAATAATTAATCACGAGGATTAGTTTAAAATACTTTGCTTATCAATAAGCCAAGTGTTCCAGTTTTTCATAAACCTAATTTTCTAAAATATTAAAAGATGTTTAACTATTTATTTTTTATAACAAACTAGTCTTTTATCCTTAATAACAAATCATGTTCTCTTGTTTTGCTGGGTATCCAGTCATATATAGACCAAAATATGCATGAGAACATTGCAAAATATTAATACAACATAAATTACAAAAATATTATTAATATAACTACCACAATACTATAATAAAATTGATATATCAACATTAATAACAAATTCCCATAATTGTTTATTCATTTCGTAACGAGCCATATACCAAAAGATTATGTATTTAAGGAGTTCAAAACTATCATTTGATTTTATCAATAACTGCACCAAATACATTTTTCAAAAAATCATATTGCGATTCACAATATCATAACAAAATTCATATAAATTAAGATTAGAAAGAAAAATTAAAATGGTTATAATCTTATAAATTATAAGAAAAATAAAATAATATTGATGTAGTTAAAAATTAATACTTTTTTCAACTTCAAAATAATATATATTACAATCCTTTTCAATTAAGTGTTGGTTAAAATATTTGACACAATTTTTTCAACTTTAGCTTAACTTATTTAAAAATCGAAATAATATATAGTAACAAGGTATGAGTAAGAGAAAAGAGAGAGAGAGAGAGAGAGAGAGAGAGAGAGAGAGAAATATTTAGTGAGTATTATTTATTATAATATTTGAATATGTTAAATTTTTATTATCCTTAGTTATAAACAATATCTAAAATGACAACTATTTTATAACGAGTTAAATAAACAATAAATCATATATTAAATTATAATATATCGCAAAATAAAAATAATAATTATTAATATTCAAAACTTTTTTTATATTAATCAATATTCCTTCATTGTTTTAAGGGCACCGGCATTGCACATTTGTTTTGTGGAGGGGCCCGTTGAACATGGATGCAATGCATCCATTAAAGAGCAGGCCCCATTTGGCGTTCATTAAGCTGAACGGCCCGTTCAACAAGTTTTTAATATTATTTTATTATGTTATAAATTAATTAATTATTCAAATTATTTTTTGTTTTTCTTTTTTTTTTAATTTTTTTTTTTTTTATAAGACCTCAATATTCTTTGAACACCAAATCTCTCGGTCCCGTCTCCCCCAAATCTCTCGGCCTCCATCTCCTATCGCAGATAAACTCCCTCAGCCGGCGTCCGTAATCGTCGGTGGACGATCTCCTCCGCTTATCCATGGTCGCGGCCCTCCCGTCCTCTGTCTTGTCGCCACTGAATTAGGGCTAGGGTTCCGGCGGAATCTTTTTTCCGTTCGATAACCGCCGTAATTAAGTGGTTCGGGGCATGGCGTGGTGTGGTCGGGTGTGGATGATGCTTGTGTCACCTCAATCGGCTTTGGTCGGGGCGCCTTTTGTCGGCCTGTTTTGGAGGGTTGCCGTTGGTGGTCTTCCGATTTCCGCAGAGGTCAGGTCGTCGGCTCCTCGTGTGTGCGAGAATGGCGGGTCGGGACTATTCCTAGCGTGTCGGGTTGATTAGAGGTGTTTCGTTTGGGCTTGGTTGGTGCGGTCGAGCAGAGAAGCCGTGGTCCCCTTTCTTCCCTTGCTCGATTTCTGAGTTTTGGGGGAGGCCGACGGTCGCCGGAGTAGGCTAGTGGTGTTAGGCTGCCTTGGCTGGATGTCGGATCTGCTAGTGGTGTTAGCCGGTGGGGTGGTGTTCGTGGTTTTTTACGGCTGGAGTGCGGGTCGTGTTCTCGGTTTGTTTTTGCGGCTTCGGTCATCGTCTTGCTAGGCCTTATGCAGTGGTGGGCGTGATACCGGAACCTCGGAGCTCTCCTCGGAATCGACTTTGTCTGCTGTCCTTTTCGGATGTACCTGCTGTGGGAGGCTGTTATGTTTGTGTGTAGTCGCTTTTAGCTATTGTGTTTTCGTTTATTTGTTTTTGTTTAGTCGTTTGTGTTGGTGTTTATGTTATTTGTTGTGTTTTATGTTTGGGCCGTTGGCCTCAGTTAGCCCAGGTGTAACTTTATTATCCTGTTGGGACCGTACACTCGGGGATTACCCTGTTGGGGCCGTTCGTAGTTTTTTTTAGTGTTTCAGTTTCGTGGTGTTGTTTGAGTTTTTAGGTTACCCTGTTGGGGTCGGTTCTAGGCAGTCTTTAGGCTGTCCTCCCAGTTTTTCAGTTGTTTGCTGGTTGTATTCAGCCGTTGGTTGTATATATTCAGCTAGGGGTTGTAATTTCGCACATTTGTGCCTTTTATATATAGTATCTCTATCGTTTCGAAAAAAAAAAAAATTATTTTTCTTTTTTATCTTTAATTCAATTTTTATATTCTCCCATTTTTTTATGGTTATAAATACACATCAGTTTTACATTTTTATCAAGTAGAAACCTAGTCTTTTTGCATTAGAGTGAATTTTATCAATTTTACATAGTTTTATCCATGTCATGGGTTTATTTACATACCGTATAACCAAGAATAGACTCAATGCATTGTAGATGTTCTAAGTAGCAGACTCGCATGTTTCGGGATCCTATATGACAAAATTACATGTTTCATTATTTGGCTTGGGGAGATTTTAATTTACTTCCAAACTAAAAATAATTTAGCTCAGAATATCTATAAATATGTTGATTATTTATGGTCATGTTACATGTATTAATTGCATTGTAAGATCATTTCTTATTATAACCATTGAATTGTAAATTTATTGTAAAAGTTATTAACTTTTGTATTTTTTATCAGTTTTACATATATAATATATCAAATTAATCATCTCTTGATGAGCTTCGATTTAACATCCATATTGTATATATAAAAAATAAATTATATTTATTTTTATAAAAATAATAAAATTATTTTTTAATATTAATTAAAAAAATAAAACTTTATCAATTAATATATTTATGTTTCAAATAGTTATATTATATAAGTTACAAAAATTACTATAATATAACATATGTAAGCGCACAAGTAACAAGTATCATCCTAAAATATATAATAATATATATTTTTTGTAAAAAATTAATTAAATTTTAAAATAATTTTTCTCATTAATTTTAAAAATTTAAGAATAAATTTTTTAACAAGCACCTGTGTAATACACGGGTGTTGTACTAGTATGTATAGATTATGAAAATTTATAGCTTGTTTAAAAAGCATTTTCAAATGAAATTTTTAATGAAAAAAGTTCTATTTAAATAATTAATTTATTCGTTACTAAATTGTTAAAGAGACTAACGAATAAGCTGAATTTTTAACAAGTCCATTTTCAAAAAGTAAATATAGTTTTTGAAGTATCTCATCTTTTTAAGAAATTAATTTTTACTCAATACTCCCAAAAAATTTAAATTGTTCACTTACCCATCGTGACACATAAGGTGTAGAAATGTTAAACGTGCTAGCCTTAATCGGCTTCGGGCTAAACAGTCCGAGCCTAAAAAACCCAGATTTAAACGGGCTACCAATAAAAGGACCTAACCCTAAATTACGTAGCGGATTTCGGGCTATACGGGCTATAATAATAATAATAATAATAATAATAATAATAATAATAATAATAATAATAATAATAATAATAATAAATTACAACACCTAGTTAACGGATATTTTTCAACGGCTATATAGTATTTTACCACTATATATATACAACTACACTTCATATATGAACACAAATTACAAACTATTAAATAACATATTGTTCTCAATAGAAAAAAGAAATGTTCGAACTATTACTTATAACTACCATTTGACTAGTTATTTGGTACGCTTCGAAAATTTTCACGATATAGCATACTGCTGAATTTATATTCTATCACTATATTTTATGTGTTAGATCTTTATCTCATTTGTTTTCTATTAACCGTTCTGATTGGCTTAATTATTTTGCTGTGAAATGGAATAAAATTTGTTAATAATTATCTATCAAAATAATAATAATACATTATAACTCATAATTACATGTGAAGTAGAATAGCAAAATTGTAATATACAATGAATCAGGAGACATATTCCTTACCTTTCTAAAAACATATACACCACCTAACCCAAGTTAAACTGGCTAACCCTAGCGGGCTTCGGGCTAAACGGTCTGGGCCTAAAAAACTTGGATTTAAATGGGTTGCCAATAAAAGGCTCTAACCCTGTTTTTTCCAGGCTAAACGGGTCGGCCCGTCAGGTCAAGGACCATTTAACATCTAAGGTGTATCCATTAGATACGTGTCTAACACTTTGTGATCATTTACTTATATGGGTATGCTAATAGTAATATTATGATCTCATTATTTGATAAATATAATTAAGGATAAATAACTTTTTTCCATCTGAACTATCACGATTTTGGCGCTTTACCATATAAATATTTTTTTTTTTGCAAACCACCCCCTGAATTATATGAGTTTATCAAATAGCTCCCTATACCGGGTTTAAGCTCGGTTTCACCTCATTGAAACTGGTTTTTAAGGGTATTTTGCGAATTTAGTATATTTAAAAAAAAAAAGATAATTGGAAAAACCAAAAGTCGAGAACTCTTACACTCCTGTACCCCTTCTCCTTCTCCGTCAATAGCCTGGGCTTCCTGCACTCCGGTGTCCTTCTCAATAACTCCGATTTCTTGGCTCGAGGACGAGAATTACCTCGAGCACAAATTATTCCGGCCGAACGAATTTGTCACCGCCCTCACGTGGTCGAGCCAAAATTGGGGAAATTGAAGAAGAAAGCCCGAATCCTCCTGCTCCAAATTCGTCTTCTCCAAGCATTAGCTCATCGCCATTGAGGACCTCGACGACTGTTTATTTGATGCGGTTCTCGAGGCGGATGAGCAGGTCGAGGTTGCGGAGGCCGACGTTGGCGTCAATGGCGACCACAAAGGAGCAGGTCGAGGGAGATGCCAATGTTGGCAGTGGTAGTGGTCTTTCCGCCTTTTCCTGAGGTGATGACCACAACGTGGGGAGTCTTGCCGGAGAGTTGCAGCTTGCGGTTGTGCTGGAGGAGGGCTCAGACTGGGGCAGCGGTGGCTAGGGTTTTGAGTTGTGTTGGAGGAGGACTTGAATTGGGGCAGCAGGTGGGATTTTGGTCGGCCTCCTGAGGAGTTTTTTACGGCTGAGGTGCAGCAGCAAGGGTTTGTCAATGGTGTTGAGGGATAGTCGATGAAGGCGTGTTTGTAGATCTCTGATTTTTTTTTTTTTTATTAAAAAATTAAAATGAATAAAAAATGGGCTACTTATTGAGAATTTGACAAAGAAGTGGAGTTAATTGTTACATTTGAATAGTCTTTAAATTATCATTTCGTCCTTTGGGTATATTTGCAATATTTTAAAAATTTGCAATTCCCAAAATGTCCTTGCAAATATGTTTTTTTGCTCCAAAACGACTTTAAATACGGTTTTGGAGGGTAAAGTGAAAAAAATGTGTAGTTTATATGATGGCTTGCAAAAAAAAAAATTATATGGTAAAGCGTCAAAATCGAGATAGTTTGGATGGAAAAAAGTTATTTACCCTGTAATTAATGGTTAGTCGTCTTCACTTGAATCACGGGAATTATTCGTACCAATTTTCAAGGCTTTGTTACTAATTACGCCAACAACATGCATTTGTTCAAAAGCCTAAGAGCATCTCTAAAGCTCAATGTTGTAGTTGCAAATTACATTCCACATCAACACATTTAGTAATATCACAATTTTCAATCCTCCAATGTACAATGTGATTACAAATATTGTGATGATGTGAACATTATTAATGTCTACAATGTAGATAAGAATGTGGTTCATCCACATTATCCTCCACACTCTAGCTAGCCAATGAAGAGAAGAGAGAGAATTACTATTACCATTTTTAAACTATTTAATTATTTGATTAATTTCATTAATTCATATTAAAATTTTAATATTTGGTAAGTAAATAATATTGTAATTTGACTACATTGTGCATTGAAGATGATTTTTTAGTTTAATAGTTGTTAACTCAACATTTGTCCTACATGGTTCACAATCTATTTAATTTTTTGACATTTGTCAAAATTTATCATACTACAATATTAGAGCATTGGAGATGCTCTAACCAAGAGTCTACCACTAGCCTTTTCCAAAAAATGATATATTTGGCTCTAGTCCAACTTTCCACAATCCAATTATACTCAAATATTTTGAGTTTGTTTCAATTTTTTAATTTTGTATAATTAATTTTAGAAAAAAGTAGAAAGATAGTTGTTAATTAGATTTTGAGTTTATATTAAAATAATAATTAAAATAAAATAACTAAAGTTGATTTGATGTAAAAGTAAAAAAAATTATGTGAACTGATGATTAATTAAAATTATGTGAGTGGATGAATAGTGAATTAAAATTAATATAATGTATAAGAATGATTGAGTAATATTATTTAATTATATTTACAATATTAAGAATAGTGAGACTGAATTAATGTTGAGTTAGATGTGAGTTTAAAAAAGTGATTGGTTAAAAATGATTGATTTTTTTTTTTTGAAAAAATTAGTGTATATCTCGTGCGATGCACGAGAAAGTAATTTTAATGTTAAATGTTTGAATAAACAAACATATTATGGTTATTTTTTAATATTACATGTTGGACTAAATAATAATTTAAAGATTAAATATTGAACTAAACAAACATATTAAGAAGTTGAATAAACTTCATAGTGATTGTAAGATGATTTTGTACGTATCTTTTTCTAAGGTATACAACAAAATATTAGCATGTATATTTTTTTTTAGACCAGGCACATTTAATTATTAAAATTTGATACTCAAAGTTATGCTGCAAATTTTATTATCAGATTTTAAATTTAGAATTATTATCAACTATTATGTGATTTTAAATTTAAAGTTATTTTTTAAATTTATTTATAAGATTTTAAAGGCTACAAAATTAAAAATATTATAGAATTCCTATATGTAGTAAAATATAAATTTTAGGCTAAATTTTTCTCACTATTTAAGGTAAATCTTAGGTCCCTTTTATATTAATAGATATAGACATAAATGCATTCATAGGTGCATTGATATCTGTTTTAATATTAAAAAAAAAATAAAAGCATAATATTTTATATATGGTATATAAATCATTCGACTCAATGAAATATATTAATTTATTAAGAAAATATTCCATCCATTTTTTAGCTATAAATGTTTTACTAAATTTGTCCAAACACTGTATATTTTAAATTTTAATAGTTCAAAGTTTAGATTTTTTAAGAAATAAATAAATCAATAGTGTTATTAATTGATAAACGTAATTACACAATTTAAATAAAGATGTTCAAGTTTTTCAAAACTTGATAAAAAATTTAGCTAATAGATAAACACAAATATAAGATAACTAATTTTCAACTTATTAAGAAGTTGAAAGCGGAAAAAAGAGAAACATTAAGAAAAAAAAATGGTAAGATGATATAAACATTACAAAATTATAAAAAGAATTTAGGATGATAAAAGTGAAGACTCACAAATTTCATATTTAAAAAATTATAATTAATGATATTGAAATTAAATTTAAAACACTATCTAAAAAAATGAAGCAATGTTTTTTATGTAAAAAAAAAAAGATTATGAATCAATTTAAATTATTATCTACAATAAGAAAAATGAAATCTATGTTCCTAAAAGATCCCGATGAAATAAAAAATAGTTACTTTAACTAATTGTTAACTAACTTATAAGAAGGAAATAAAATATATACTAATTTTCATTTAACTTGTCAAATTTTATATTATTTTAGAAATTTCTAAATTCATTAAATTTGAAATATTTAGGTGAAATTATACTTACTATTTTAGATAAATTTTGACCTTATTATAATAGATTTATATCAAGCATGCACTTAAAGGCGAAGGTCATATTCGTAAATGAAGCCAAAAAATTCACGTGGAATCCCATTGTTGATGTAGAAAATCCATCAAAATTGATTAATTGATGAAACCCACAAAGCTCCACCTTTGGTGACATTACCATTTACCGCAAAAATGGAGGACAAATTCGACATTTATGTGGGTGATTTATGGTCTCCCTTTTTTGCCTTTGTTGTTTTCCCTTCCTCACAAATTTATTTTTATAATAAACAATTTTTATAATAAAATAAAATATAATACGTAAATGGAACAAAAAAAATAAAATAAATATATATATTAAAAAACGTGAATCTTAAAAAGAAAAAAGAAAAACACAATATATGCATTATATAGGAATGGAAAAGACAGGAAGGTGAGGCAAACGGCAACTGAGTAGCCTCCAGCTGTCCATCGATTAAAGCCATTGCACCTATGACCTAACCGTACAAATACAATTCCTATCACCACACTCCTATTCCTTTCCCCATTTTAACCCCCCTTAGAAAATTTAATCATTGTTGATTGGAAAGTAAAAATACATTAAATTAATTATCTCAATAATAATATTTTTGTAGATATTTATTTTAAATACATTACTATTTTTATTTAACATACCATACGTCAAACGTAAGCGAGTCTCACTCACTGTCACTCATAAAGTAGATATAAATTTAAAAGTAAAAAATATTATTAAATTTTACAATATATTTGTATTATTCAAGAGTATATGATTTTAAAAGTCATANGCTCCAACACAATAAATTAACACATAAATTTATATAAAATAAAACTATGACACTCAAATTTGAAAAATTTCATAGTTTGTATTTTTATGAAATATTTTAATTTAAAGGCAACTGACTATCATTAGTTGTATTTTTATTTTTAGCTATTTTATTTTAATGTCAAAAGTATAATAATTATAATTTATAAGATGAATCATGACAAAGAGTCATATATTCAGACATTATACATATATATTACTTAAAAGTTTATAATTATTAATTTACTCAATTTTTAAGTTTCTAATGATATATAGTGAAAATACATTTTATTCATTTTCCTCTCATGACATCTACTCACACAAATAAAAAAGTATACTGATTTCAAATGGAGATAAATAGATAATCAATATCTAACCTTAGTAAAATGAGGATGCGGTCATAAAATAATATTATACTAGTACAGTTGCCCGTACAAATGTACGGGAGCTACAAAAAAAATCATTAAAAGAGCATTTGCAATTTATTCAAATGTTAGAATAATTAAATATTACTGAATACTTTCTTATATACAACGTGCTGTTTTTATAATCACAAATTAATATTTTTAATTCTTTTACATTTGTAACTCTGACGTAAAGTTTTGAATTATCTTTATCATCACAAATTAATATTTTCGATCATTTCCCATGCTTCTAAAAAATAAAGAGAAATACTATATGTACATAATAGTGTACATAGAGTTGTACATAACACTCACAAAGAGTCCTACCAAAAATAAAAAATCAAGTGGACCCCACTACATGTGATTGTTATGTATACCTACATTTATTATATACTTGTAGCATTTTCCAAAAATAATATTTAAAAATTATGAAATGCGGGTCGACTCGGGTCATCCACAGTCCACGTTGACCCCAGTCAGTATGCTTTCACTGTGGTTAACGATAGCCGTTAGATGGGTTGAATATTTTATTGCTGAAAGATGAAAGTCGTTGACCAAATCATGTGGACTCCACTCACGCGAACGTAAAGTTCAGTTCCATTCTATTCAGCCTCTTTAAGCACGTGCACCACAATGCTCTCTCATTTCAATTTCATTAGTAAAACCTTATGATGCTAATTGGCTCTTTTAATTTTGACAATTATATGTGTAGAATTTATTATTAAATCTTGGTAATCTTACACCCTCGTATCCCGTACATTTTTTGAAAAGTAGATATAATCTAACCTTTTTTGAAATTCCTGGGTTTTGCAAATTTACAACTTTTCAAACTAATTAAACCATATATTTGCAATATATTCGGAATTTTAAAACTCTAAAACATGTACTCGACTTCAATAATGTCCTATTTTCTAAATTCATGTCATTAATAAAATAAGTAAAACAAATTTTATATATTTAATAATATGTTTATATATGTTTTTTTAGTCGCACATTTATATTTTTTTGAATTATTTATTATTCACCACCTTTGAGTATTTCCTAGAAGCAGGTTGTTGAGCACCCTAAGCAGGGGCGGAGCCAGGAATTGAAATTTACCCGGGTTAGAATTATTTAGATTAAAAAACGTTATTTTGGATTATCTTTTACTAGCATGATTTAATATTTCAACTTACCAAGGCTTTAATTTTAAACTTACTATTAATAAAAATAAAACGCACAAAAAGACAACCATGTACTAAATGTGAAAAGGATAAATTAATAACTAAATTCTAAAAATGTAATCTCTTTAGATAAATCATACTCCCTCCTATTTTTAATAAATGTCGTTTTGAAATGTTGCACAGTAATTAAGAATATTTTTTTTGCCAATAATAACCCTGATTAATGAGGATAGAGATGAATGTTTTGAGAAAAGATGGAGAGTGAATATGAAAAGACGTAGTATATTTATTAGTTAGATGAGGGTAATAATGAAAAAATATGTACAAAATAACCAAAATGACATTTATTTAACAAATGATTAATTACGTTAGAATGACAAATAATAAAAATAAGAGGGAATAATATTTATTAAATTAGCCCTAAATTAACTTTTTTTTTTATGTTAAAATAACTCTTATCACTAAAAAAATATCATATTCCAATGGAATACCTTACGGCAACATATTACCATGGATATAGCAATGATATAGTTTATGTTGAAATTATTCCTACGAAAATTTCAACGTTTCTATTGGATTTATAGGTGGAATGTGATGATTAATATTTCTAAAAAATAGATTTCTCACCAANTGATTAGATCGCAATTAAAAAATGTGATGTTGTGTTATTTATTTGTCTTGTTGGTCTTATTTTAAGTTTTTAAATTTTTGGGCATACAGGGCTTAGAAATAAAAAAGTGGGCTACTACTATATAAATTGACTGCATATCTATATACAATGTTCAAAATATATCAGATTTTACCCGGGCTATAGCCCAGGTGCATTTTAATGTGCCTCCGCCCCTGAGTCCCTAAGTAATCCAAAAAATACTATAATTTGATATTGAAATGTAAATTATGTAATATAAATACTACAAAAAATATAATTTCTTAAATTATAAATAAATATATTTGTTTAAAAAGAATGAAGGATTAACCTAAGACCTCCTGGCAATAAAATTTGAGGGGAAAAAGAAAAATTAAAAGAAAAGCAACTCCCTGAAGCAATATCAAGTGATCTTTCAAATTTAAAAATGAGTTTGTGAAAAGTAGCAGATGGGGAAATTGATGTGCCAAGTGATGTAACATATCCATGCACGAGAACACCGACCCTACAAAAACATTAATCAACTTGAAAAATTAATTTTGTAATCATTCAATTGATTAAATGAAATTGGAACTCATTTATAATTAACTAAACCCACTATTATTTTATTTTGATCTCATTACTCCCACCTCTTTTTTAATCACATGGTGTTAGCAAGGACGACTCGTGTTCTTATTTGTACAAAATCAATTTATTTTATCAATTTTTAACAACGGAAATTCCAAATTATGTAGTTTGACATGCAATGTTATAATTATTCATACCATTTTAAGTGAATCAAATACACATATTGTGTCTGACGAACCTGATAGTTCGACTCGAAACAATATATTTTCAATTTTAATTTAGTTTTATTTTTTTTTTAAAAAAAAAAATTCCGTTTCAATATTATGTATCAAATTGAAGTTGAAACTGAAAGAGATGACAAGTGGGGAGATATATAATTGATTGAGCTTGGGTTACGTATGGAAGTGAAATGAGAAGCGTCTACACTCAAAATATGATGAACATCTCATTTATGGTCCCATTATAATTTCTTCCATTTAGTAATTCTTTATTTATGACGCTATAATTATGCAATATTAAACACAGCTGATAATTTAGGTATTTGAATTGCACAATTTGTAGTCTCTCCTAAAATAAAGAATTTCTCTCATGAATCCCATTTTCCTCCAAATCGACCGAAAACCCTAATCTCATTCGCGTGCCTGCCCTCGGTGGAGGCGCCACATCTTCGCGACAAGATCGGCTCCAGGGTCATGGCGCTTTCTCGGCAGGCCGTCGCTCTTCTCGGCGTGGCCATGGTGGTTCTAGGGGAGTGGACGGTGCTCCGGCGCTTGTGCTGTGGTGGAGGGGTAGGGTCGGTGCTGATCTTTGTCCCCTTTCTTTCGGCTTTTCCGTGGTGCGTGGAGGGTTGGTTCTCTAGCGAGGGCGGTTTGTGGTCGTGCTCGCCGGATCGCGTGGGGGGCGAGAATGGCGCGGGTTCTTGGTCTTATCCCAATGGTGTCACCCTTGTGGATTGGGGTTGGTTGTGACGGTCTGGTAAGATTTTAGCCGGTGTTGGGCCCTCTCGATGCCGAGTTTGCTGTAAACCTTATTCTTCCCGTTGGGTGTTCTCCCGGAGTTTTAGTTCGAGTGGTGAAGTTGCGGTGCTGTTTTCCGACCATTGGGAGGATTTTAGTGTACTCTGGTAGTAGGTGTAGCTTTGTGTGCTCTA